GGGGGGGGGGGGGGGGGGGGGGGGGGGCGATAGGCCCGATATGCACCCGCGGTCACAGTCTTGCGATGCTCAGAAGCACCTTTTTCGAGGACTCAAAGCCTCTAAATGGACCCTCACCAGAAATGCAGCGCAGCAAGCCAGGACGTTGGGGCGCCCCATGCAGCCCGCTTAGAGGAAACTTGGGGAGGCTGAGACACCAGCTGCACTCGCGGAACGGGCTCTGCTCAATCTTGACAGCCGCCCACGGCATCCACATCCTCCAAAGCTGCAGCGTCGAGCACAATAGCCAGTGGGAATGGCTGGATCGACAAAGTCGGCGCTGCTTCCGTGTCTCCCGTGTCGTGGCTTGCGGAGGCTCTCGCTTCTTGCATTTCGAATGCAAGATCTGGCAATCCGATCGACCGACTCGCCAGCGGACGAGACGAGATGGAATCCAGGGCACCCATAGACGCCAAGGCGGGGTCGTTCGACATTGTTTGCGACTCTAGTCCGGCGAGGAGAGGAGGCGAGATCGGGCGGCAGGGGCGTGTCAACAGGCCAGTATGGCCCAGAAAGTTGAGCGGCAGCACTGATCGAGATACAGTGGGACGGGGCAGGGACGAGGGCGATCGGAGCGGCTCTTCGCGCGCCTAAGCCGCCAGTTCTTAGCACAAATTCTCAGCCGGCGATGTGAGACATCTGCTGGTATGCTGTCTCACAAGCTGCATACAGCAGGCCGATTGCGCTGTCCCTAAGCGCGCCCTCCACAGCTCCTCCTGCGCTCCTTGCCTAAGTCGCCTTGCGCCGCCGCTGCTGCCATTGACTGTGAATGAATTTGAATTGCGCCGCGGGCTTGCTCATCGATCAGCAACCTATGCTACAATATATGTGAAGCGAAGCCATGGAAGAAGTGGGATGATATTGCACCTGTCCAAGCACCAAGTGGTTTTGTTGCCGTCTGTTGCGAGCTTCTGGCGGCACTGCTGCTCTGCATGCTCGATGCCCGTCGTGGCGGGATGCTTACACGATCGAAACGCATCTGCATGCGCCTACGTCTGGCAGTGCAGAGGCCGATTCCGTGGATGGATTCTTCGGCAGCGCCCCTGCCTGTGCAGTTTGCGACCCCAAGACCCTAACTGCGACAGCGAAAGCGAGCCAATTTCAACTATCCGCTAGCGCGCATCCACTTCGGCTATGGCCCGGCGCACGGCCAATTCTCGGCCCTGCAGCCCCTAACAACTCACAGAGTGGCACCGGCTGTCGTTTGCTCGCAACCAACATGGCAAGGAAAGCACCATGAATAGCAACACTCTAGACCAGCGCTCTAAAAGGCTCCGTTTCGGCCTCGGCTGGCGCTTAGCCCGAATTCATGCCGAACGTTGCCCAGCACTGCTGGCGATTTTGAGGACGCCCGGGCTGTGCAGGTCGAGGCCCAGCTGGAGATCGGCCTATATTGCTGCAATCAGGCTGTAAATTTGTACGGCGGGATCGCTCAACACTGCCGCGAAGGGAGAAACAAACAGATGGGCGCTTGTGCCGTGAGTCGCCCATCCTCGGCCGTCAAAAATCGAACCTCGATTCCAAGCCCCGACGAGCCCAGCCTCTTTGCCAAGTCACGCCCCGCCCCAACCTCGCTTTCAGGCTCAAACAGCATGAAGCAAAGCTTGTTATGCTTTGGCGGATCGCCTGGCGGCACTCAGATCCTCAGCCGCCGTCTGACACCGTTCAAATCTCGCGCAAGATTGCAAAACCCGCCGCCTATGAAGCCTCAAACTACGCCTTGCGTTTTCACCGAATCTCGACTGAGGAACGCTGGCAGCTGCTAGGGCAAGAACCTACAAAGCAGGCTCTGGACCGCTTTGGCCTCATCGGAAACACCTCGGCTTTCAGCTGCCAAGTCTGCTTCTGCCAGCCAGTGTTGGGCGAGTTTAGCAAGACCGGGGACGAATCGAACAAGAACTGATGGTCTTCGTCAGTTGCAATGCGCAGGCGCTGCGAGCGCTCGCAATAACGTTGAATGTCAGCTGGACAGCCATAGCCCGGAATTTGCGAACGCAGAGCCTGACTGCTCGGCAGGGCGACGGGAGCCATGGTCTTCGACGCGAAACCCAAAATCCGAGACACCAGGGGCGACACACAGCCATGTCTTGTGCTTCATAGGGCACCTGCGAGACTGTTCAGGTCGTGTGGGGGCTGTCAAGTTCAGGGCGACCATAGTTGGGCAGCCAGAAGGCCTTTCCCTGCGTCGCTGGTCCATAGCGCTGCCATGTTTGGACAAGGCTGCGCTTCTTTGACCGCTCGAAGATCCTCCAAGCCTACAAGTCTTTTTCTAGAGCTGAATAGCTCTGGTTGCAGCTTTGGGCTGCTTGCCGAACCGCTCGTGCTGAGGACGCACTGAAATGCAAAGGGGAGACGCCCGTTGATGGAACCTGGCTCGCCGTGCCCTACCATCCAGGCATCAGGCCACCTTCACTGCTCTTTGGATGGCCCAGAACGGCGGTCAGTGCACTGCGTCCTCAAAAGAGCCTGTAAGGTGGTTCCTACCTCGCTTAGAGCCATGCAGCATAGTTCTCTCAAGCCATGGAATTTCGCACTCCGAACATGCATGGTGCTTTGCGAGCCTGGACATGTGCACTTGCTCGTGAGGCGGTACTGCAGCTCTCGATTCGAGGCTCAGCACCCTCCACGAAACGACCCGCGGCCGTAGACTCAGGCACAGCTTGCAGCATCGTCGGCTCACGACTACCGACGTGGCACCGGGCTTTATCTGGAGTAGTAGCTGCTGTCTGTGCCCAAGAACCACAGACTCTCTACGCTCATTCGAGCCTGCCACATCTGCTGAGAGGCCGAGGCGGATGTTCTCCTCAGCCGAGTGACGCCGAGCTCAATCAAGCGGCCCCAGATTGGAGCATTGAGCACCGAGACTCAGCCAGCAGTTGGAATGGCCGGTGAACTCTGCGATGGTCACCATTCCGTCCACGCTGGGATTGCACTCCCTCCTTTTTTTGCTGCAGCTCGCTCGGCAATGCACCGCACGTCGACCTCGCATTACCGAGGTGGGATTCAGGAACACGGCGTATGCCCAATGCTCAGGCACCTGAAGTCCAACGAGCTCTCGACATGTCGGCCGCTCGCCCTCCCGGGCGATGGCACTCATGTACACTTCTCGGCCGTCACGCAGTTGAGGGCTTTCCGACGACTGAGCTTGATCCAAGATCCCGACCCGATTCAAAGGTGCTGCGCTTCCGGTGGTCGCATCGAATCGGGCTTTCCTTCTACCGATCGGAGACCGATCGGATCGCCATCAGTCGCACGATGCACAACCCGAGACGCAAGTGAGGACGTCGAACAGATGCAGCCATGAGCACACCGCAGGGTAAGATTCTTACTTGTACGCGCGAGAACAAGAGAGAAGGAACGCGAGGTAAGAGATCGTGAAAAGTGGGGGAAGGACGCAGCGGGCGGACCAAATCCTGCGGCAAGCAGCGACTGTTTGAGATGATGGTTTTGATGAGGAGGGAGGTCGAGTCCGACGGACGTGTTTACCTCGGTGCGACACGATTCACGACCTGTGCGTAGTCAGGACCTAAGCTCATACAGAGAATGTCAAAGAGTCAGAATGCTTGGAGCTTGAGTTGAGTTCCTCTCGTCAGCGAGAAGAGAACCGACTTGTGGGAAGCGTTGCCATCTCCCGCGGCTGCGATGCTTTCCTAAACTCACTGAGGCGAGTTCATGAGCATGTAATTGGCATCATTCCCACTTCCAGTCCTACTTCAGGCTGCAGCAATGCACTTCCAGCTAACCCTCTGAGAGGTTCTGCCGCTCTCTTTGGCAGACTTCGTCTCGGCGAGAACAGTTGCTGTCATGGCTCACTGTGGTCTAGAGAAGTGGTAGCAGAAGACTCATTTCTTGGATGACGTTGCCACACAGCAGGTGCCCAGCTCGCAGTACGTCTTCAGCTGATGATTTCGGCTGCCTTGCCTGGCCCCGACATTCTTCGATATCAATGCACGCAACGTAGGGACAGAGCTTCTAATTCGCAGGCACTACAGCTTGAGAATGATCCGGGTATAGTTGGGCTACCAGCCATACATGCATCGTGAACGATGCGAGGCTGGGTGAGCGAGAGATCTTAGTACGACTTGTAGGCCGAACGCAGGTTCTTCATCGATGCCAGCCAGCTCTGCATGGTCGTGCCAGAACCGGAGGCGGGGTTGGGCACATACAGGACGCCATGGCCCGAGCCGGGAGTCATGAAGTCCTTGGCCTGATTGGTAGGCGTGCTGGTAATGTTGGCAAAGTATTTGGTGATGATAGTGGAGAACTCGTCGCCCGTCACGCCCATGAAGGTGGGCAAGACGGTGTCAGATGCGAACGACAGCGATCCGAATCTGCTTCCCGTGTTCGCCTGGGAAAGACCGGGGAGGAAGGTGTTGAACTCGCCGACCTGGCACTTGGGGCAATCCTTGCCCGATGGCTGGTTGATCTTCCAGCTAGGCCTTGTATTGAGGTAGCCCGGCGTGGTAGCACACGAATCAGCGATCAGATGCGTCTTCGCCCACGGCCAGGCTTTCTTGGCGAGGTTGTAGTTGAGAGTCGCTCCGTAGCAGCCTGCACTGGTACCAGTGACCCACACGTTGCTCACGCTGGGCACGGCGCCGGCGACGACCGAGAGGATGTTCTGGAAGTTGACGCTGCCGTGGTGGTTGATGGGCGCCGGCGCGCCGGGATAGGTGACGACGTTGTTGCCTGCATGCACGTCGCCGGTGCAGTAGGGTACGAAAACATAGTGCGCGGCCGACCACGGATTGCTGCGTGCGGGATCGCGCGAGGTGAGCAGTAGCTGGTTCTCCAGCGATGGCCGGGTGTTTGCTTGGAAGGAGGCGTTGTTGTATCCCTGGAGGTTCATGGCCATTGGGGTGACGAAGCACGACTGAGTGTCCCAGCATGCTCCTCCGCCATCAAAGTAGATAAGCAGCTCGTTGGCGTTGGCGTGCATATTGTACGCGAAGCCAGTCTGGCTGCCGTCGGCGCAGACGTTGCCGCCCTGATCGCTCCAGATCCACGTATCGTATGCGGGTGGGACAAACGTGGAGCGACTCCATCCGAGGGGGCTGGCAGTAGCGAGCATGGCTCCTGCCAAGAGGGCGAAGGACGCGGTCAAAGCTGCACGCATCTTGCTTGTACTTCTTGATGTGTGTCAGTGTGGTGAATTGAATGAGAGATAGACGGAATAGCAAGGGGTTCATTGATGCTGTTTATATACATCTCTGGATTGCAACGAAGCCCTCTTCATGGCCGACGTAGTCTGCTGCAAGGCGCGAACCTCCATCGGCTGTCACGTCTCTAGGGGATCTCGAATAAGACGACACCTCACTTTCGCATGAGGTGTGCGGACCCCGACGAGGCGAGCGTTAGGCTGTGCACTGAGCTCCTTGGCGTAGCATCGATTCAATTTGAAGATCCATGCTCGCTGTTCAGCTGAGATGCGTTCTCTCATGCGCGGAATCATTGGTTCACTTGGTCGGGGGAGAGCTCGTACAGAGCGTCACGAGCAGCTTCAGACGCGGGAACGCCCATTGCAGGTCCGAACCACCGGACATGGTAATAGGAGGTCCCGGCGAGGACAACGTGGGCAGGTCCCTGCTCAACAGAGGGCCCCAGCAGGCGATTAGCGTAGCGAGAAAGCAAGGGGCCGAAAGGGGCCCTTTGAGTGAGTGAGCCAAGCGTCTCCGGCCCGACGAGGAGCGAAGGCCAAGTGGAGTTTGAGGCTCGTGCTTACAACCTTCCCGCGGATACTCGCGACGTGAGGCTGGCTAAAGTCGGCACGCGACGAAGGACACAGGTGGGGGGAAATACGGCTGCCGAGGCCGGCGCTAGCTGCTCGGCACCATGCATGAGCTGCTCGTGTGGGGTACCCATCCCTTGCTCCCGTCCCGACCCCGCTTTCCAATGCGCACAAAGACGGCCGAAAGACGCAATTCAAATGTGTACGTGCATCGAAATCTAAGCTGCCATGAAAGATGCACTAGAGGATGGTGACATTCGGAGTCCAGGATGGCCACGGACGGGCTGTTGGACAGGGCGGAGTTGCAATCTGCGCAAATACGGTTGTCGTGCCGCTGCGATGGGTCCCGATGCGACAAGGTGGTTCCACTTGGCAAACACCCTCAAAACGGTGCCGCGCGACGACCTCCTATCTTGCAATGCTAGCGAGCTGCGACAGTAATGGCAGCGGTCCAACCTCCTTTCTAGGAACGGTGCACGCCGAGGAAAAAGTCGCCGACAACAATGCAGCGAGGGTCACCAACAGAGGTTCGCCCGCGTCGGAGCTCGAAACCTGGTCCCGGCCGCGCGCAACACGTCCGACTTTGCTTCGCAACTGCTGTACGCTGCTCTCTACGGTCTTTCGATAGCGCCGGGATTTGGTGACGAAGAAGGAGAGCTAGACGACGGCCGCAGGAAGTTGGGGCTAGAGCCATGCCTCTCGCACTCCTGAAGCATGGGGCGGAAATTGAGTCCCTAAGCGAGCTCGGTTTCTGCATCCGAGCTCAGGGTCCCGAGCTCGCGGTGGTGTACTCAAGATCAATGTAGCAATCGCAGGATCGACGCATCAGGTTGATCTACACTTGTGACCTCCTTTCTGTGAAGCGCAGCTGCTGCTGGATGACGAGCTCGTACGATAGGTTGAGCAAGCACCTGCTAGACACACATCGAGCTCCAAGCCGGGTGGTCCCAGCGTGCCTTGCTCTCCTAAATGGCGTCTGGCATGCACGGCTCGAGCCGGCGCAACCGGTGCCGACCACCGTGCAATCGAATGTCTCAGCTCGGGCACCGGGAAGCACTCGAGCCTGCTTGCACGGCACGGCTCCCATCTCTTGAACATTTCAGATCGTCACCAGGCGTCTTAGAATCAGAGCCCACGACAGCTCAACCCTTGGCCCTTTTCATCGCGCTCCGGCCCTTCGCAGGGTCCTCTTTACACGTCACGTCTTCAGAGCGGCTGGGTTGCGATCGTCAGCCTGAGTGCTTTGGCCGCGTTCGCAGACGCCGAGAGTCACAAAGGCCGACAATGACGGGCACTGTCGACC